AAAAGGTTTGATTCTAAGGAAGTTGCTGTTTGGTGGGAAGTCTGGGGGTGGGGGGTGGGGTGGGGGGGATCCAGGCTTCCAGACAGGGAGCAGTGCCGGGCTGACCGCAGGGCGCCTTCACGGCAGCTCTTGGATCTGCGACTTCTGCCTCCCGCGTCCTTTTCATTTGCCCAAAACTTGCTTTTCTTTCATGAAAAGGCATCCAGATGGTGCTTGTCACGCAGCCTGTGTACCTACCCCCTGGGCTTCCTGAGGGCTGGGCTGCCGTGTTACTCCCCCAGCACCCAGGGGGCAGCTGGTCCACACTGACCCTCCAACAATATTTGTGCCGACAGAACTCAGACCTCGAGGAGAAGGAGAGGGAGCTCAGGAGCTCACCTGTCTACGCGCTGGGTAGGGTGGGTGCAGCTGTCCGTCCTCTCAGAACAACGAAGCAAAACTGCAAAGCCGGCAATGGCCGGATTGGCCTGGGGGGGAGGGCGAGACACCTCCAGAAGGCGAGGCTGTTCTTTAAGACAACGCGCAGCCTGGGGGCCGTTTGCTCAGTAGTCTGCACGCTCCTCTTTAAATTCACTTTTTAGAAAATTGAGGTAGCGCTGATTGGCCACACTGTGTGTGATCCAGGAGGGTCCCACCTCCTCAGAGGCCTGTCCCTGTGAGTCCTGGCTCATAGCATGTCCCAGCGCCGCCCACCCCACCCCAGCACCCAGACACCCACAGTCCTTTTCCCCCTTTTCCCCTGCGATGCTTGTGCTTCCCGGAAGCTCGTTACTATCCCCATGTCCCAGATGGAGAACTCCAGGCCCGGGTGGGCAGTGCCCAGCGTGGACGCATGCCAGCCCCCACCTGACGCCACCATGCGCAGGCTCACGTGGGAGCTTTGGAAAACATCGCGGCCACTAGGCTGTTTCCCACCAATCAATCAAATTCTCAGAAAGGCAGGACCTGGCTCCAGAAGGTTCGGAGCTTTGCAGGCATCCCCGAATTTGAGATCCACTGGTCTAGGTGCGTCTTGTTCCCCTGGATCCAGCAGCGATGGCTCTGGAAGCCTCGCATCCCCGCTCTTAGCTGTGTCATCTCAGGCTTCAGGGTGGGCTTTGCTTCTCTTTATTCCTTTTTATTCTTCTTGCTGCTTTCTGGTGGGATCGGTATGGATGGAGTCACCTCGGTCATGTGACTCAGAGGAGGCATCTGCCAGCGACTCAGGCCGACAACTCACCTGCTGGCTTCCTTCCATCCTGACCAGCTGCCTGCAGAGGCATCTCTGCCTGGAGCAGGGAAATGAAAAACAATTCCTTAGGAAGAAAAGCTCAAGACAGTTCATTTAATTGTGATCCCTGTTGATTTCACGAGGTGTTTCCTTGGCCTTGGCTGATGGAGGCGACACTTCAGCCTGAAGCCACCTTAACGGTGACTTTCAGTGGAGAAGCTTTTGTTTCCAGTTTTGCTTTGCACCTGAGAGGCTTCACCAGGCCGAGTATTGGCCTCAACTGCCAGAAATGCAGAGTCCCAGGCCCCCGGCCCAGCTGTGAATCAGAATCTGCTTTTCACCAAGATACACCTGGGGGGTGCATGTACCTCTTTGGGAAGCCCCGGGAGGGGTGTCCAGAAAGCCTCCCAGGGCCCTGCTCACATTCTTTAATGACCAAGGTGCTTGGGGAGGGGCCACAGGCCCAGGCGTGTGCTCGCCAGCCTTCCGCGGGTCACCTCTTAGCAGCACCCCAGCAAATCTTGACCTGTGTGTTTGCATTAATCCCGTTTTTCATGGTAAGAAAACCGAAATAAACTGGTGTTGTGGGTTAGGGGCAGGGCCCCGGGCCTGCGGCACCCTTTTCTGATGCCAGCTGGTGGGCACTGGGTGGACTGGGAGAGGAAGGCTGGAGGCCCCTCCTCCTGGTACCCCGAGTCTGGAGGGTCCTGGGAAGGGGGCAGCAGAGGGGTGGCAACATACATAAATGCTGAACTTCTTCCCTCTCTGCAGGCACCCCGAATTTATGCCCTGGGCCAATCTTGAGGTGGAACTCGGCACCTTGTTGCACCCCAAGCACTGGGAACTTCATGCATTTTCCATTTTGTGGGAAGAGAGGATGAGGCTTCCTTTGTGCCCCCCCAGCCAACAGTGTAGGGAACATCCCAGGAGACACCCAGCCCTTGGCTTCCCTTCTCCCCAGCGCCCTCCAGCAGCCTCCAGTTCTCCCTGCACGTCTTCCTGGAGGCCCCCGTTCCCAGGGGGTACGATACTGTGATATTTAGGAGTCTGGCTTCGCGCCTCAGCAAATGTCCGTGGCACACACCCACCACAGAGCTCTGGTGCCACTCTTCACTGCCCCGAGGGCCCCTCCCGGACCCGCTCCCTCGCCTCCGGTCACCACCATTTTGTTCTTGGTCTAAGAGTTATTTTGGTTGTTTTGTTCATTTGCTTTGCTTGTTTGTATTTCACATACGAGGGACACCATCTGGTATTTATCTTCCTCCTGACTTATTTCACTCGGCATCACCCCTCCCGCCCCCTCCCTGTTGTCACAAACGGCAAGACTCATGAGGATGGGCTTTTATTCCACGATGAAACATTTCAAAGCTGACCTGCTGCTTAGGCTGCCCCCTGGCACCCCGCGGAGGTCTGGGGTGGTGGTCCTGGAGGAGATGGGCGGCTTATGTTCGGGGCTGCTCACCTGGAATGGGAGGCATTTCCACGGCTGTCCAGAGGCTTTGGTACAGCCAGGAGGGTGATGCAGCGCGCCCCTGGGGTTCTGCCATCTCTATGGAGACTCTGACATGAGATCTGGACTCGAGGGTTGTAGGAACATGCGCCGAGTCCCCTTCATGGCAGGGTGTGCCTCCCCCTCACCACTGGTTCCCACGACAGAGTGCTGGGGTCTGAGGCTGGGCTTGGGGGTATGGGTGGGGCTGCCTGCACCTCAATTGCTGCTTCTCTGGCTGAGTTTTTATAGGTAAGCGCCTTCACCCTGAGTTTCCAAAGCCTCATCTGTGCAGTGGGGTGACCGTCACGTCTGCCTCATGGAGGTGTTACCAGGGTTACAGGCGCACTTGCCCACCGCGGCTGGGCATAGGGCCTGGCTCGGGGCCAGCACGCTGTGCACAGGGCGCCCTGTGCAGCATGGAGCTTCTGGAAAGTCCCGTGTCCCCGCTGCTCGAAGGCAGGTGGCCCCAGCTCCGCAGCCACATGGCCCCGGGGTTTGTCAGGGTCAGATATGCAGAATCAGGTTCACACTTGAACAGGACCCTGGGGGGCTTCTGTGGGCGTTTCTGCTTGGAAGCCCTGCTCTAGGCTGGCGTGCCAGGGAGGAGAGCGGCCTCTGAACCGACGGTGAGTCCTGGTGCAACATGGTGTGGGCGCAAAGTCACCAGGACACAAGGTACAATGTGACCGTAACCAGTTCCGGGACTGTCCCGCAACGGGCATGTCTGCAGCTGCGTTTCCTCCTCCGTAGAATGACTCACCTACCCGACAGGTCTGCCGAGTGGATGAAAGGAAATAATCTGAAAGTTGATGTCAACGAGCGAAAAGCAAGCGGTTTTTCTCTTGTTCGCATAGAAAAGGGCCTGATAATTCCCGTCGCTGTTAATCCAATTTTCAAAAAATTGGGTCACCCTTTTTGCACACCCACATGCTGGGTGGCGGCAGATAATACCTATTCATTATTTGGTGTCTCGAGTCAATGAATGGCAGCGCCGGTGGCCTGGGAACTGCAGCCTGGCTTTTTGGGAAACTAAATGGGAGAGTTTCACGGTTTGGCTAAAAGCTGTCGCTCCAGCAAGGACCAGTGCTGGGTGGACAGGGGTGTTTATGACGTCACAGACCAGCCTGAAGGGCTGCGCCAGGGTGCACAGCCCCCAGGGTGCTCCCAGGCTGGGCGTTTTCATGCCACACACATTTAGCAGCAACAAAAGCCTTTTATTATTTCCAAACATCACAATGAAAGCCAGAAGCACATGAAATTGCTTCCATTAACAGATCTTCTAAGAAAACCTCAGATCAGTTTCAGCACAAGAAAAATACATAAGTGTACACTAAAGACACAGCATCATACAAGGATTCGTGTGTGTGTGTGTGTGTGTGAACAGCCAGAAAGCTCAAGTCCACATTATTTAGGGCAGGGAAGGGTGTGATGGACGCCCCAGCACAGAGAGAGGCAGCGCTGATCTCCGAGCTTCCGGGAGGAGCCACAGGCCACTCCAGGCTGTCAAACCACCTGAAGCCACAGCCAAGCGATTTCTTGAGACACGTGCCCTCCCAGCCATGACCCTCCTTTGTTTCAAAGACAGAAAGGGCCAGAGGGAAAAGACTGTTAAAGGAAACAGGGTAATTCATACTTTAAAATAGTAAGGCGTCAAAATACTGCACTTGCAGGCACATTCTAATTTCCCAACACCTCGCATTGGAATTTTGCAAGCTACCTTAGATTTGATGCCTCAAACACAACAACAGCAAAGGCAGAAACGCGTTACATTCCCATGCTATTTTGGGGGACCGTGGGGGGTAGAGCAGCGCTTCTTTCTGAGATCACTGTTTTTAGGAGATTGTTTTACTGCCTAGAAGACAAACTCAGTCTCTTAAGAACGAAGCGCAAAGCCACGGGGCAGCTGCCAGCCGCGGTGGGCGGCGTGACGGTCCGCTGGGGAGAGCTTCAGCCTGGCTGTCCCGAGAGTCCTTCAGTCTGGCCTGACCGAGCCCTGGATGAAGACGTGAAGCAGGCGAGCAGGGCGGGGGGCAGGAAGGCAGGCAGGCAGCCAGGAGCGGCCCTCACTGCCGCCCGCCTCGAGACTGATGGGGGAGCTGCAGCTTGTGACTTACCCGCAACGGAATCTGTTCAGAGAGCCGGTTGCATGGACCCCAGATCCTCTCCAAAGGCTTTGCCAGCTTCAACACGACGGGCGGACACTCTGGTCCTCTCAGGGCACCTTCTTCTTTCTAAACCCCTTGGCTAGACCGAGGGTCCAAAGGGCCGGGCCGGGGTCACGTCCCAGGCCCTGTCCTCCTAGCCCAAGCTCAGGCCGTGGCAGCTGCAGAGAATCTCCTTAAAGGTGTTTCTCAGCTCCAGGCTCCGGAAGGCGTAGATGAGAGGGTCGATGACGGAGTTGCACATGATGAGGACCAGGTAGGTGTTGAAGTGCGCGGTGTAGCAGACGCAGTAGGGGTTGGTGGGGCAGGTGACAATGAGGACCAGGTGCAGGAAGAACGGCGCCCAGCAGAAGACGAACACGCCCAGCAGGATGGTGATGGTCACCGCGCCCTTCATGCAGGACTGCTGCGCGGGGGCCGCGCCGTCGGCGGGGGGCAGCGCCGCGATGCGCTGGACGTGCAGGCGCGCGAACAGGAACATGTGCACGTACAGGGTGCCCATGAGCAGCAGCATGGCGAAGAACAGGGTGATGAGGCACACGATGACCGTCTTGCTCTCCGAGTACACGATGAACACCACGCCGCAGACGCCGCAGCTCGCCCAGATGGCCGCGATGGAGGCCAGCGCCTTGCGCGCCGTCATGATGCTGTGGTAGCGCAGCGCGTAGAAGATGGTCACGTACCTGTCCACCGCGATGGCCAGCAGGTTGCAGATGGAGGCCACCAGGGAGATGCAGATCATGGAGTCGAAGACGTTGTCCATGTGCTGCACGAACTGGTCCTCGAGGGCCAGCGCGTCGCTGTTGAGCGCGGCGATGAGGACCGTCTCCAGCGCGTTGGACACGCTCACCAGCATGTCGGCCACGGCCAGGCTGCACAGGAAGAAGTACATGGGCGAGTGCAGGTTGCCGTTGCGCGCCACGGCCACCACCACCAGGATGTTCTCCAGGAGGCTCACGAGGCCCAGCGCCAGGAAGACCTCGGGCTGGATGAACACCTGCTCGCAGAAGCCGCCGCCGCTCTGGTTGCCCCAGGCGGGCGCCGCCGGGTCCCGCCGGCCCCGGGGCAGCGCGGGCGGCGGGGGCGCGAGGCGGCAGGACGCGTTCATGGGGCCGCGGCCGGCGGGACGGCCTCCTCGCGGGCACCTGCGCGGGCTCGTCCGGGCGCCCCTGGGTCGCGCACCTGGGGCGGGAGGGAGAGAGGAGGCGGGAGAGGAGACGGTCACCCGGGGCGCAGGGAACTTTCCCTGCGGCCCAGGGCCGGCAGGTGGTGGCTCCCCCCCCCCACGCCCCCCGCCCCGCTCACCTGCGCGTCCTCACCTGCGCGTCCTCACCTGGGGCGAGCCCCGCCGCTCGCGGCCGCCGTCCGGGCCGGGCTCGCGCGGGGCTCGGCGCCTGCGGCCGGGGAGGGCGGACGCGCCCGGCAACTCCCGCCGAGTCCGCGGCGCGGAGCGGGGACCGCGGGGCGCGCGCCGGGCTCGGGCAGCGCCGGCTCGGCTCGGGGGGCGCGCGGCGGACGGGCGCCCCCTGCGGGCCGCGGGGCGCCGGAGCCCACGGGCCGGGCCGGGCCGGGCGGGTCCAGCCGCCGCGCGCGTCGGCTCCGTTTCAGCGAACCCGGACCGAGCCCCGCGGCGCGTCGGGCCCCCGCGGGGTGCGCGGCTGCAGTGGGGGCGCCCGGGCGCGCCAGCCCTCCCGGCCCGGCCCGGGGCGGAGGACGCCAAGTCGGGGATTCCACTTCGGGGTGACGGACGGTGGAGGCGGGGACGCCCAGGGGCTGGGGGGGCTGAGGGGTCCCCCAAACTGGGTGGCCCCAGAACGTCCCGGAGGAAGGGCGTGAAGCTGCCTAGTGCTGAGGTGGGGCCGGGACTGGGGGCGCTCCGGTGGGGACCCCGCCTGTCTGACGGAGGCCGAGCCCCAGGGCCGGGACCCGCAGGTGGTTTCCAGCGTTGAGGGGCGAGCGGCTGCCCGGCTGGAGCGCCCCGGGGGAGGCCGGGGTGGAGGAGCCACAGCGCCTGGCCCCGCGGAGCCGAGACTCGGGGAAACGAGGCTCAACCTGCTTTTTCTAGGGCGGGCGAGCTGGACCCCGAAGGCGGTGGGAGGGGCGCAGGGAGGGATGCGGGTCGGGGCTGCGTTGAGGAAAGTCAGGGCTGCAGAGTGGAGACTGGCCTGGGGTGAGCCTGCAGCCAGAGGGGCCAGGCTGTGCACCCCGGCTGCAGCACTGGGCTGCAGGAGCGGAGCGGGAATATTTAGGGGGCAGGGACAGGAGGGTGGAGGGTGGTTGGATCTGGGGCGCTGGAGAGGGAGGGCCCAGGGACCCGGGGCTCCCTCCCGCAGTAACAGGGAGGGTGGAGAGGCCATTTTGAGCTGAACATGTGAAAAGCAGGATTTAGCCGTTGGCTTTAATTCTTGGTTCATGTCAGACTTGGTGATGCGCCCGAGGACCAGGCAAACTCTGGAAACTGCACCCCTTTATTTCAGGGCAGGGAGAGGGACACCCCAGACCCTGCAAACCTGCCTGCTCTAAATAGGTTCTGCCACCCGCCGCATCAGCACAAAACATAGGAGACTTTAATGGGAAGGAACTTTAATACAATTAGGAAACAAGACAGGAAAGGCAAAGAATCTAGTTTCTAAATCAAGCACCCAAAGGGACCCGTCCCCTCGTGGGTAAAAGTCCAGCCAAGCAGGAGCAGGACTGGCCCAGAGCAAGGCCCAAAAGCTGCCAAAGCACCTTCCAGTGGGGACCCACAGAAAAGGGTCAGAAACAACCAGACAAGCCCGGAAGGAAAAGAGCAAAATCAACATCAGGATAAAAGCTGCCATGGTCACCTCCCCACGGGTCTCACCCGAATCTGTGTCACCCAGTCCACGACCAAAAGACAAGCGCAGTTTCTTCACGTGTCTCTCGGCTCCGTGTGCCTCCTCCAGGGCTCCTTCTAGCTCCATCCTGCTTCCTTCCTTCCTCAGTCTCCTCTGCAGCTTCCCCTCCCCCTGCTCAGCTCCACCCTCCCTTGGGTGGGGCAGGGAACCTGGAACCTCCCCATTTTCCTGGGGACCACCCTGTTACACCTCGACCCCATGACCATTTGCCGAATGGATCAATGATACTCTGACTTTCATTTTTTTAAAATTTTTAAAAAAGATTTATTTATTGATGCATACAAGAACTGCGGTGTAGGCCAGAGGTGCAGGAGGGTGAGAGGACTCACCAGAGACAGAGTGGGGAGCAGAACAGGTAGAGCCACTGAAATCCACTGCTGAGGGGAGCCGCGGGGAGACAGGAGAGGTCTGCCGCGCCATGTGGGTAGCTCCCTGGCTGGGGATCGAACTCGTGCCGCAGTGGCTGGTGATGGCTTCATAGTGCTGAGACTTCAACCCCTTATGCCACCAGGAGGCCCCATGATCCTCTGACTTCTATGTATGTGTATGTGCCTGAGATAGAAGAAGCTCAGATCGGAGTAGAAGCAAATCGAGAATATTTACAAGACGCTCGAGGGGAGTGTTCGTAATAAGATGGGCCGTGCACATGCAGTGGGAGAACTTCACCACAGGCAAAGAGAAAAAACAAACAGGAAGCAAACATCTGCCACAGGCCAAGGCAGCGATCTCAGAGACAAAGGCTATTTTTACATTAATAAGAAAAAGATGAATTGCCGCTTTGAAAACTGGGCAGAAGCCAGGAATAGAAATCGCTGGGGAGGAAACGCAAACGCCTCATAAACACGGGAGAAGATGCTCAGCCTTGGGAGAGTCAAGGAAATGCAAATCCAAATGAGGCTTCAGGACCATTCCCCCCGCCCCACCCCCAGTTAGGTTAACACGAATTGAAAAGATACCAAATCCAGGAGCGAACTCGGGGTGACACGCTCATAGTTCCCCCTGTTTGGGAATTTTGCCATCACTTGACAGTCTTAGAAAATGCGAAACGCCCCTGTGTGTACGTCCCAGTCTGGACTGAGAGGCTCGAGAAACGATGTTTATTTATTCTCCACGGAGCAACCGAGTTTCTGGTGCTAAATTACCCACCTCCCGGGGTGGAGGAAACGCGGGTCTTGAGGCGCTTCTTCAGTGGCTCAGACTAGCACCAGAGGGTGCGTTTATTCTGCCTTGGTCTGGGGTGTCAGGGGGCGCTTTACCTGCAAAGCTAGGTTATGAGGCAGGGACAGTCCTTTGTCTGGCCCGCTCCCCGCTGGCCCGGGCTGACCAGCACCATCTCTCTCGGCTCCCACCCTCTGGTCCTGCGCATCCTTCACAGAGAGCAGCTGGGGCCTGCACTTCAGCTGTGTCCTCAGGGCACCCTCGCTGCTGATGGCTCTAGTCTTCTCTAAAGGTTACTCCCCACTCTGCTGGGGGAGCCGCACAGATGCACCATTACTTTTTAATGGACTCTTCTATAAGTGAATTGGCTTTATTAATAATAATTGGAAGATGGAACGGCCTGCACCAGCGTTTCCTTATGCTGCTGCGCTTGGAGTGGCTGTTCCACGTCTGCGGTCGGAAACTGTAACCGGGAGATTCAGATGCTAAGAAGGAATCCACCTGTGCGTTCTCTTTGTCCCCCAAACTCTTCCCTAATTCTGTGTCTGGCATATTCCTCTTGTCCTTCATGACCCAACCTAAATGTCAGTCCTTTTTTGCAGCTTTTCTGAAATTTCATGCACCAGTTTATTCCCTTTTCAGCCACTCCCCGACCCTCCCGAAACTGACAGGGTCCATCCCTCAGGACACGGGAAATGTCACAGAATTAGAAGCCATGTCCCCTGTCTCTGAGGGGGGACAGCGTTGACCAGAGGTCATATTAAAAACAAGGCAAATAGGTAGAATCTATAGTTATTTTTATTTTTTTTAACATGTTGAAAACACCCCCAATCTGGGGGCTGTCTTCCAGGGAGCACTCAGAAGCTGGCAAGTGCAGCTCAAGAGGTGACGTTCAGGGACTCCTGACTCCTGACTTAACTCCTGAAGTGTTTACGTCTCAGCGATATGAAGCTGTCCGCAGCCACTGCAGCAGGAGTTCAATCCCCGGCCAGGGAGCTACCCACAGGGCGCAGCAGACCTCTCCTGTCTCCCCGCTGCTCCCCTCGGCAGTGTGTTTCAGTAGATCTGACTGCTCTGGTGAATCTGTTACAGGGCAGGGAGAGAGGCAGCCCAGACCCCGCAAACCTGCCTGCTCTAAATAGTTTCTGCCACCCGCCGCATCAACACAAAACATATGAGACTTTAATGGGAAGGAACTTTAATACAATTAGGAAACAACACAGGAAAGACAAAGAATCTACTTTCTAAATCAAGCACCCAAAGTGACCCGTCCCCTCGTGGGTAAAAGTCCATCCATATGGGATCGGCCCAGAACAAAGCCCCAAAGCCTGCCAAAGTCTAAAGCACCTTCCAGTGGGGACCCACAGAAAAGGGTCACAAACAACCAGACAAGCCTGGAAGGAAAAGAGCAAAATCAACATCAAAACAAAAACCGCCATGGTCACCTCCCCATGGGGCCTCACCCACATCTGTCTCCTTCTGGCTCCATCCTGCTTCCTTCCTTCCTCAGTCTCCTCTGCAGCTTCTTCTCTCCCTGCTCAGCTCTACCCTCCTGTTGGGGGGCGGGCAGGGAACCTGGAACCTCCCCCTTTCCTGGGGACCCCCCTGTTACAAATCCTCTGTTGTTTTGCTGAATCATTCATTTAAAGGATCCTTGGTTGGCAAAAACAGACGCGACCTCGGATGAGGCAGGTGGGCTGGAGGAGCATCGACCTGCGACCCCACCTCTTCCCCAGGCCGCGGGAGGAAGGGCCTCGTGTGACTGCGACGCTGGTCCAGCAGTGCATGTGCCGCTGCGAGTGGCTTTTTTTTTTTTTAAAGATTTTTATTTATTTATGCATTCAAGAGCTGGGGTGCAGGCCAGAGGTGTGTGTGTGTGGGGTGAGAGGATTCACCAGAGACAGAGTGGGGAGCAGAACAGGCAGATCTGAAACACACTGCTGAGGGGAGCAGCGGGGAGACAGGAGAGGTCTGCCATGCCATGTGGGTAGCTCCCTGGTGGGGGATCGAACTTGCAATGCAGTGGCTGCGGATAGCATCACGGTGCTGACTTAACCCCTTGCACCGCCAG